CTGGACAGCTCAGCTGGGACTTTGGTCCAGTCTTGACCACTTCCAGAGACCCCTCCTTCCCTGGGGCTGTTTTGTGCCATGCCAGCTTTACCATGAGCCCATCGGTGCTGCTGTCCCTGGCTTTGTCCCCTGGTGCTACCAGGAARGTCTGGCTCCATCACCTTCCCAGCTGCCCTTCCCAAAGCTGCAGGTGCTGTTCTGTCCCACCCCTCTCCATCCATCCATGGCCACCTCTGCAGGGCTCCCTCTGAGCTCCCCACAGCCCTCTGAAGCTGGTGGAGGGAACAGGGGACAAAACTGGACAGGCTTCTCCAAGGATCCCATGTGGAGCCCAAAGTTCTATCCCAGAGCCCAGCAGGGCTGGTTTGGCCCAGGAGCTCCATCCCAGAGTGCAGCAGGGCTGGTTTGGCCCAGGAGCTCCATCCCAGAGTGCAGCAGGGCTGGTTTGGCTCAGGAGCTCCATCCCAGAGCGCAGCAGGGCTGGTTTGGCCCAGGAGCTCCATCCCAGAGCCCAGCAGGGTTTGTCAGGCTCTGGGATCAACTTCCAGCACGTGAGCCCGTGGCCCTGGGAGGTTTGTTTGGGGTTCTGTCACCCATCACAGCCGTCCCCAGGCCCAGGAGCAGCAGTTCCACCTGCTTGTCTTTGTCTAGGAAATCACCTTAGGGACGACAGGGCTGCTCCCCCAAGGAGCTGACGCATGGCCTGGGTGGAACTTTCCATGAGGAGCCTGAAATAATTGAACGTGTGGCCTGAAATAATTGTCCCATTAGTTCTGCAAGGGACAAGGAATCATTTGCAAATGGCTCCTGTGCAAACACTCCCTCCAGAGCCCCCATCTGCTCCTGCCTGGCTCTTCTCCCTCTCCCCCAGTCCCTCCACCTCTCCCTCTGCCACGGGAGGAAGGGAGGGAGAGTGGGGGATCYCAGATTTGTCCAAGGTGAGGACCCCAATCACCGCCTCCATTCCTGTTTGTGCCCTGTGCACAAAGGGGAGGGGGCAGCTGGCACAGGATCCCTCTGAGGAGCACATTCCCCCTGTCCCCTCCCTGTGTCCCAGCCCCACTCAGCCACAAAAGAAAGCATTTCCACCGTCCTTCCCTCCAGGCCTCAGGGCTGGCTGCACTCAGCATCACCGCTCTCCTTCCCCAGCTCCGGGGAATGTGTGAGCAAAAATGACCTCATGCAGGGGAGAATCAGAAAATGAGCCATGAGAGGGAGGTAACAATGCTTCCCGAATGAGCTGGAGGCACTCAGGGGACTGGGAGCACCACTGCATTTCCTGCCCTGGCACCCGCCCAGCCAAGCTGCYTTTGTGTCCTTGACAGAAGCCTCTGAGTCTGATTTTATTTTTACTTCAGGAGCCTTTTACTTTCCCTGTATTTGCTCCCTTGCACTGTTTAGGAGGGACATGGCCGATACCAGCTTCAGGGCTTGGTGGCACTGGTACTCCCAAAGATGCTCTGGAAGGGCATCACTGTCAGTGGTACCCTGGGCAGGACAGCGAGCTGGGCACCCCCTCACCCACCCCACCCAGCTCTTCTGGTCACCATCAGGATGGACAAGAGCCCTCAAACAGCTCTGTGTACCCTCTGGCCCTTATCACACCCAGAGGATGCCAAAGTCCCCAAACAATCCCAGACCAAGCCCGACCTCCATCCCCGCCATGCAGACGACTGGGCTGGATCTCCAGACGGCTCCYGGGCACCTCAGACACCCAAATTAGACCTCAGGGTGCTCCTGATAAGCCTCAGTAGCTCTGAGCAGGGTGCAGGGACTCTCACAGCAGCCCAGCTGTTTACTCCAGCCAGGGAATTCTTGTGTCRGTGGTTTCAGTATCAAACTGCTGAGCTGTGTTTAGTCTGTGGCTGGAAAGCAGCCTCGCTTCTATTCTGAGAATATTTGTCTAATCAGGGGTCCAAGGAAGGATTTTGTTCAGGGGAAAGTTCTGTTTATTTGGRTACATTTATCCTCCAGGATGGGTGCCTTGGAAAAGCCCAGCAAAGGCTGAGCAGTGCTGGTGTGTTTCAGGGCACAGGGCACACCTGTAAAAGGGGAAAACATTTATTTCTGTAGAAATAAGAAAAAAGCTTTAATGCTCCTGGCATCCAACCAGCTCTGGAACAAGGCTCCTCGCAGCCCAAGTGCTGCAGATGCTCACCTGGGGTGGCAACACTCCTCATTCCTTTCTCCTGATAAACCTTCATCCCAGGGGTGCTCTGCAGCTCGAGCTGCCTTTTCCTGGGGCTGCCACCTTCAGAGYCCCCTTTGCTTTTGTAAATCCCAGGAGACCCCAGCACCCTGCCTGGCTGCCACGTCAGGAAGTTGATGGAACACAGGATTGAGGGACACCTGAAGGGCCAAGGCCATCACTTGGGACAGGTGAGACATTTTCCAGCCTCTCCAAGTACTTTTGGTTCATCCCAACCTCCCCATCCTTGAGAATGTGAGGGAACCATCATGTTCAACCCAGGACCTTGGGACATTTTACCTTTCTCAAGCACAGAATCACATAAGTTTTTGAACCTTTCAGCCCTTTCTGGGGACAATTCCCATTTTCCCACAAAAATCCTTCCCCTGGGGAGCTTTGCCTCCAGCTGGCTGAGCTTTGTCCCAGGGATGAACCCGGAGCACCTCGGTGCACTTTGCCCTGTTTGCACACAACAAACACGGCCGAGCTGTGACTATTTGCAACTCAGCAACGGCTCATTTTTAGCCCAGAGACAAACCCTCGTTATCTGCTCAGATAAGGCCCTCCCTATTTTGGAAGGCACCAGGTTCCACATTGGGAAATTCCCTTTGGCTGTGGCACCACGATGTCCAAAGGCAGCTCCTCCCCACATCCCTGAGCTGGGGATGAGCCTGGGACAGGCAGCAGCTCCTGCTGTCACCCTTCCTGCCCTGGGTGGCCTCAGTGCAGGAATGGCCACCTCTCATCCCCCAGGGCCACCCCCAGCCAGGTGACCCCCTCATGATTCCAGCAYTGCCACTGTGGGAATGGCCCTCCAGCAGCTCCACTTGGGCTGAGGCTGTCCCTCAAATGAGGAATTAGAAACACCCCAAATTCTCATTCCCATCACTCAGGCTTGTGGCATTGGCACGGACAAGGCAGGAATATCTTGGCGTGATTGGATTTTGTCCTAAACATCTGATTTTGTGCTAAATAAGAGCATTTCTACTCCCCTTCTGTTTGTGTCACAAGCTCAGCATCCCTGTAAGACGCTGTCCCTTCAGGGCAGTGGGGCTGTGTCTCCACCCCAATAAACATCTCCCAGGCCAAACCCCCTCCGTGGGCTGCCCTCCCTCACCCAGCTCCCATCCAGGTGCTCCAAGCTCCTCACAGCTCGGAGATGCAGCTCCAGCCCCTCTCCTGAAGCACAGGGAGGACACAGCTGTGGCTTCAGTGTCACCACAGAGCCCATGACAAGACCTGAGTCCCTTCTGAGGTCTGTCCTGCTGCGGGAGGCACTGGCCATCCCGGGAGAACACGGGATGAGCCCGTGGCATTCCCGGCTGCCCAGAGCCGTGTCTTTCCAGGGAACTGAGCATCTCCAGCACGTGGGAGAGGTGTTTGCCCAGTGACTCACGCCAGCCTGGAACCCAGCAATAAATTCTCTTACAGCGATAACCCAGCTCCTGCCACTCACCCAGGGCTATTGCCACCTTCCCAGGTCCCAGTGCCTTTGTCCCCGGCCGGGATCAGAGCCCAGCACCAGATCTGCACCCCACACATCCCCTGGCAGCTCCAGCTCTCCCTGCCTGCTTGAGCCAGTGTCATTCGTGGAAGGAAGGCAGGGTTTAAGGTCCAAATGCCGCATGGTGATGGGGTTGGGATGCTCCTTGGGATGCACCAGAGCTGCTGGAGCTGTACTCAGGGCAGCGAGAAGGGAATAGCAGGGACTGAGCTGCCCAGTGCCCCCAGAGCCCCCTGAGGCTGCCCCAGTGAGCTTGGAGACAGGGACAAATGAGGGCAGCAGTGAAGGGACCCTGCTGTAGGTTTCCTAACATTGATGGTTTGGGATGGAGCAAGGGGAGCTCAGGAGAGTAYGGGGGATGGAGTGAGGGAAGTGCAAGAAAATCTGTGTTGAGTCCAGAGATGAAGGGAAACCCTCCCAACTGGGAAGAACAGGAGATGAAGGCTCTGGGCAGTGCCAGGAGGAGGATCTGGCTTGGAGGAGGCGGCTGGGAAGGGGCACCTACCCCCCCCCCCCGGGTCCCACAGCTCTGGGGTCAGTGGCTGGGTCACCACTGGGACACCATGCACGGCCCTTGACCCTGGGGTGCCACGAGAATCCCCAGAGAGCAACCAGGCACCAGCCCTGCTGTCCCAGGCAAGCCCTGAGCAGAGCCCCCAGCTCAGTGTCCCCAGCTGGCAGCCCCTGCTGCATTTCAAGAGGAAAAAACCCAGAAGAAAGGGAACCTGCTGGGGAGAGCTGTGCTTACATAGGACTGCTGGGGCAGCCACACCACCACCTTGGGCCCCATCACCACAGCCCAGCACAGCCCTGTGACACCACAAACACACTGCTGAGCCATCCAAGGCTGACCACAACCAAGGTGACACTTCAGGTACAAAACACCCCATGAGCAGCCTTCATAAAACATTCACATCCCAAACCAGAGCACTGTGGGGAAGAGCAGCCCTGCCAAGCCRTGCACAGACCTGGAGCAGATTTTTGTTGCTGCTTTTGGTGTGTCCCCAGAGGGACCTGGAGCTGCAGGAGGTCACTGAGGGTTCGGCCATTTCTGTGGTCAGAGGTTTGTGCCCTGCTGTGTTTGACAGCRACCGCTGTCCTTGGGAACAGGCTCCTTTTGGGCAAAACTCCATTGCTACATCCAGACCTGGCCTCAGGAGCATCTGGCAGCTGCTCCATCGTAAAAAACAGCTCAGAAATTCACCRAACCAGATTTTCCCTTCTTCAGCCATGCAGCAACAAGATTTTACAGCACTCAGCAAGGCCAGGGCTGACAAACACGGCACGGACAAAAGGCAGCTACAAGAACTGATATTCTCCTTTTATTTACCTATGACCATGACAATGCAGTTGTTTTTCTAGCTGCAGAGATGCTTTGCACTGTAAACTGGGAGGTGGGCAGCGCATCCCACCCTGCCAGGGCCAGCAGGAATCCCCGCTTCCCAAAACACAGCATTGTTATCCGGAGTCAGGAGGGGAGGGCGGCCGCACACGGAGCCGCTTTTCCCCACGGCCGCCCCCTCCATCGTCAGGGATCGAGATATGGATATTTACAGCAGGCTCCCCCGGCGGCCCGCTGCCAGGGAACGGGTCTGGCACGCACAGCCCGCTACCTCACAAAACCTACACACCCGCGAAAAGAAACAGCATCCGCTCCGCCGGAGAGCGCGGCCGCGACACACACAAATATTGCACTTGTAACTGAGAACGGGGAGGGACACAGGGGCTCCTAGCGCACAGCAACGTGTCCGGCTACAGGAGGGCAATAAATAAACCAGGGGGGGAGGGCACGAGGGCGCTTTGCACACCTCCAGCGCAGGGGCAGGACCTCCAGCTCCCGGGGCACCCACCACCAGCTCCTGCCAGAGCTGCTCCGGGGCAGCTGGGAGGCACGGGGAAGCACAGCAGCGTCCTGGGGATGCTCCAGTTCCAAGGCTTTGATCCGGGGCGATGTTGGTGGTGGTGCCATCGTCCCCTTGCCAGAGCCCTGTGCAGGAATTGCCCTCCTCACCGAGCTGGGCTGGCTATCCACCTTCCAGCAACACTCACGGCTGGGGCAGGTGCTTCACAGTAGTCTCGTGGGAGCTTCCCTCCTGGCTAAATCCGTGCCGGGGCCACCCCGACGGCGTCGTACCAGCGATGGTGAGACGGGGTGGTGCAGCAGTACCGGCCTGCTCGGCCTCTGGGTGCCCTCGGCCCCGAGCTTGGTGCCTTCAGCCGCCCCATGTCCACACAGCCTGGGGTCACCGGCAGGACAGCGAGCTCCCACCAGCTCCCAGRAAGGCCTCCACTGCCCAATTCCATGTAAACACACAGCTCCCAGCCTGCCCCGAGACTGTCCTTGGGCCTACAGCGGGGAGCTGCCTTTCTTCTGGTTGATTATGTCCAAGTAGAGGTCGGAGCGGAGGAAGCGGGGGTACGAGTCCTTCTCCATGAGCCCGTAAATCCTCTTCTGAGCCAGGTCAAAGCAGCTGCGGGTGATGTTCTGCAGGTTCTCCTTGGTGTGCTCCCGTGTGTAGGAGTCCAGGTTGACCTGTGGGCACAGAGACAAGGCTGGTGAGCTGCTGCCCAGGCGGCCACCAGCCAGCGAGCCACACCCCAGTGTGGGAGAAACCCTCACCTCCTTGCAGGACTGGATGGCAATGTACTCAGCGAAGATCTTCTTGGCCTTGGAGACCATCTTGGACTGGGATTTGATCTTCTTGAACTCCTCACAGGCCAGCCAGAACTCCAGGTTCTCCTCRCTGAACTCRGTGCGCAGGAAGGCYCTGAAGGCAGCGAGCCCATCTGTGGGGACAGGGACACGGCTCTACTCCYGCTCACACACAGGGACAGCCCCACAACACCCTCAGCTCCTGCAGAGCTGCAGCCCAAACCCCCTCCCTGCACTGCCCCTGAAGACCCTTGTGCAAACAGGCAGAGATGGTGGTGCCAGCCCAGCACAGCAGCACAGCCCATCTGTGTGCTGAATCCACAGCCCAGCTGCAGCACCGAGAGCCACCAGGGAGGCTGGGCTGGAGCAGGGACAGCAATGGGGACAGGACCCCCTGGCCATCCCCACAGGCTGGATGTGGATGGGGTGCCTGAGAAGGGCTGTCTTCTCCCAGCTTCAGAACGGGGGAGTTCTAAAGCAGCTCCTGTTCCAAGGCCCCTCTGCAAATCAGACACAAACACTGCTTCCTCCTCCTCCTCCTCCCCAAACTGGGGGCTGCAGCCCTGATCCACAGCTCTCCCSTCCACCGGTTCCCACRTCCCCCCCGGGCCAGGCAGGAGCAGAAGGGGTGCAGGAWGGGCTAATTTCCCTTTGAGTATCCYCAAAGATCGGAAGGGATTAACAGAGGAAATCCCAGCTTGATCCAGGCACGTGTCTGGCTATTCCCCTGGCAGCACACACAAGTGCAAGGGATGCACACACACTCACATTTGTGCAGCAGCAGCTTCTCCAGGGAGTCCCCCCACTTGAGCGCTTCCTCGGGAGTGGGCCTGCAGAGAAAGGACAGCAYGTTGGCCAAGCTCAGCACAGAAAGCTGCTTTTGCTGCCTGCTAAGCATTTCCAGAGGATCAAAAGCCAGGCTGTGTGCCCAGCACGGCTGCTCCCAGCTCCYAAATCAGCCTCCTGCAAAATGTTTCCAGAGGATAAAGCCACGCTGTGTGCGCGGTGGGGCCGGCCCTGGCTCCCACCTCAGTGCTGGCGCTGTGGGAGCAGCTGAAGGCAGAGCCAGGCTCTGCCCCAGGCAGCACTCAGCAGCTCTGCCAGAAGGAAACTGCTGCCTTTAGGCTGGCAGGAGGAAAATCCGACACCATGAGGTCTGTGCGAGCTGCTGTGGCACTTGGGGTGTCTGAGGAGGAGTTGGAAAAGCTCCAGGTGATGCCCAGGAGCTGTGGGAAGTGGGTTTGCAGCTGCCCCGTTCAAGCAGATGGAGGAGCTGCCAGGAGCAGGAATAGGGAGGGCTCGTCTCCAGCTGCTGGAGCATCTCCAGAGCAAAGTGGTTTTTCAAACCATCCTCTGGCCAGTTAAAGTTCCATGTACAGGCACTGGGAGAACAGTGCCATCAGGTAAATTTCCAGCCCAAGCTGCTGCCGTGCCACTGCCCAGGCAGGAACTCTCACCCTCCAGCAGGAGATTTTCAGCCAAAAAAAATGTTTCCAATGCTCCTCCACATCCAAAAACTTTGTCCACAGCTTCCCCAAATGGGGAGAACCCAGCTTCCCGGGAGGTGAGGAGACAACAGCTCATCCCAAGCCTGCACGGTCCCGATCCCCACAGCCTCGATCCCCACAATCCTGACCCCCACGGTCCCTGATCCCCAMKGTCCCCGATCCCCCCAGGCCKGATCCCCACGGTCCCCGAATCCCGAAGTCCCCGATTCCCGCGGTCCCCGATCCCGCGCCACCCGTTCGCAGCACCTACTTGAGAGATTTGAGGACTTTGTCCAGTTTGCCGGAGGGGTTGGCCCCGGGGGACTCATTCCGCCGCCGAAATATCCCCAGCCGGTTCTTCATGTCCTTGGCTCTAGAGAGAAGAGCGAGTCTGAGCGGGCGGCCGGGGGTACGCGGGGCAGCCCGGTTCGGACSCTCCGGCAGCCGCGTCCCGCCCGTCCGCGCCCGCCACCTACTCCTTCATGGTGTGCCGGCGCTGCAGCGAGCCCGTGTGCGGCCTCTGCACCGCCAGCAGCATCTCCGCGTGGAACTCGAGCGGCTGCGGCTTGGACAGGTCGCGGAAGAAGGGCATGGTTGCGGGGACAGCCCGGGCGGCGCAGCGRCTCCGCCGGACTCTGGGGCGCTCTGCCGCCCGCTCCCGCCCGCAGCGGCCAGCGCGCAACGGGAAGTGGGAGGGCTCWGCCCGGGGAGCTTTAAATGAGCCGTGGGACGGCCCGGGGAGCGTGYGAGGAAAGGCTGTGTCAGCCCCGCCGCCGGCTGGGACGGCTCTGCCGTTGCTGGGGAAACTTGAGGAAAGGTGGAAAAATCAGCGCCGGGGAGGATAGTGGGGCCTTTCAAGAGACGGCGGGGAAAAATAATCGCAGTCAGGATTTACGAGGGCTATTTATAGAGCGCAGGCATCCCGGCAAGGTTGCGGGGCCGGCGGCGGGGCGGAGCGGACTGAGGAGCGGAGCGCTGCCCTGTGTCCCCCCCGCGTGGGCACCCACACATCACCCACSGGTGCTCCCGTCTCCGCTGCCAGGCCGGGGACATTTCCATGGCYGTGGGGACGTTTCCTTCAGGGGGTGGTCGGGACTGGCAGCGCGGGGCATTGGGGCAAAAACGCCCCACTCTGTCACCCCTGCACGGGTCCCCCCGCCCCAGCATCTCTGTACAGACAGACTGACGGACACACGGGGTTGGCGGCTGCCCAGGGAATTGGCAGCAGCACGAAGCAGGGCAGATTTTTGGGAAGCGCGGTGGGAAAAGGAGCCCCCCCGGAGCAGCCTCCGGGCACGGGCAGGGACGGGACGCGCGGGCGGTGCTGCCCCCGCGTGGCACAGCGCGGGCACTGCACCCGGGCACAGCGGGAACGGGGACACCCGGGGGACCGGGACGGAGCCACCCAGGGACGGACGGTACCGAACGCCTCCAAAAAGCCCAAAAAAAATGCAGCAATGGCAAGTTTTAGCGCTTGGGTCTTGCTTCCCATTCCCTTTTCTGGCAATCTTCTCCCAAGGACGGTGATCTGTCACTCATTAAAAGAAAATAGAACGCTATCTTACATGACATGTGGCTGGGACATTTATGATTGGAAAGAATTACGGCTTCCATCTGTGTTTCCAGTTTCTTCCATCTAAAATACCTGCCCCTCGATCTCATCATAAAGTGCACAAAACAATATTTCACTGCATGTGGCTATAATGTCGATAGCAAAACTTCAGAGCATCAGTCTTTACACAACACACACGGACTCTGCTCTCTAAATCTGAGGCTCCTTATCTGAAAATTATCTCACCAGGCAAACTGCTTTGCTTTTCACTTTTTGCTGTTTCTGACTCTGCAAGTTTAACGTTACAGGACCATCCATGGGTCACACAGCAGTGGATCTAAGGAGGATGCTCAGGGAGTCTGCTCTGCCTGGCCGAGCCATGCCCAGGGCTCATGAGGGACACGAGAGGGACAGGAGGGATTCAGGGAACAGGTGCACCACTCCACCCTGAGTGATGTTCTCCAGACCCACAGCTCTCTCCAGTTCCTGCAACCTGAAACTCAGCAATCACTGGGGAAAAAGAACTGCAACAAATCCGGGCTCAGTCCCGTGAGCCACAGAATGACTGTAGAGGACAATCGCTCCCCCCAGCCCCGGTGCCATCTGTACCCTCATGGGCAGGGACAGTTCCACTGCCTTCCCACCCCGCGGGCTGTGATGCCAGCAGGACACACTGCTGCCAGCTGCCAGACACCCGCTAACGTGGGAAACRCAGATCCACACACGGAGCCTCACGCTGCAAACACCATCTGCCTCCCATCCCCGCGCTGCCAGCGCTGCCGGCAGCCAGGGACCTGCCACCGCACGGGACGAGCCATCCCACACAGCCCCGAGCAACAATTTCAGCAGTGTTCCCAGCTCAGCAGGGCAGCACTCGGCACCTGGCCAGTCTGGCAAAGCACTGAACGGCCCTTGTGTGACACACGTGGGTCACCTCCCCAGCACAGCCCTCGGCACAAGGCCAGCTGGAACACACCGGGCAGGTGATCCTGGCTCCTGGGTGGGTTTTCCAGCTGGAACACACCGGGCAGGTGATCCTGGCTCCTGGGTGGGTTT